GGGTCCTCTTCCCTAAGACCGGGGGGGGGCACCCAAGGACAGGGATGAGCAGGAAATTCAGGACTGTGAAGACCCCACTTCCTTCCCAAAGCCCAGAAATGAACTCTCTGCCCCAAGACAATGTGATTGACAGCCAGTAGCTAGGATAGCTTTTAAAAAGAGCCAGATTAACTCACAGAGGGGGGCGTCACCAATGGCTATTGTTGGACTGCAGAGTAGGCACAATGCGCGTACACTGTCTAGCTTCCAACAGTAATTGCACTGAAGCATTCTGTACCAAATGGAAGTTGCCACAGTGTCTTCAAGGGCAGACCCGTGTAGGGCACATTACAGTAGCCCATCCTCAAGTTTTCCCATGGCATCGATTTGTACGGCCAGATCAGTGTGCGTGTATGTGTGTGTGGGGATCTTCTGAGCGAAGTGAAAATGGAACAAGGTAAGAAAGGCTTTTGTGCTTCTAGCACCTCACAAAGTGTGAAAAACAAAGGTTCAGAAAGGGATTTTCATATCAGAGATGAAACACAGATGTGAACAGAGATGTCACAGAACAGAACTGGGGAAGGCCCTATTTATGTAAGGTTTTCCTTTAATCGTCTGCAAGCCACTCTTCTGTCCTTCCTCCACTGTACTGCATTGCTGACCAAAAGTATACAGCCTCTGAACTTCAGCATTCTCCAATCACGAAACCGCCCCTGACCATAAAACCCACTTTATGCAGACCACTACTACACTGGTGCAATTTCAGTCCTTTTAATCTGAATCCTGTTGTGTTGTTCCCTGTATGTATTACTTTTATAACTCTGTATTCTGCCTTGCGCCTCCCCCTAGAAAAGTGGGCAAGAAATAAAGTTAAAAAAATATTGACTGGAGGCTCCATGGTCCGGAGCAGTGTTCCCTCTAAGCTGGGTTAGTGTGAGGTAGCTCAGTGTTTTAGCCTCTGGCTGGTCTGCAAGCAACATTGTTGTCTTGGCTCAGGAAGGACGGCTCCAGGGCAAACTAATTTATGCAGTAGCCAAATCGCTCGCTCACAACTTTAATGCCAGTAGCTCACAAAGTACAATTTTTGCTCACAAGGCTCCACAGCTTACAGGGGGCATTGGTCCGGAGCCATGCAACTAGGAGCCCCACTTGTGGGTGGCGGGAGGGGCCAAGAATAGGGGGAGGACTGCTGCCGGGCACAGCATCTGGACCACTCCTGTGGGAAACGGGATCTGGAACTTTGGCCTGATCCAGCTGGGCTCTTTGGCTTGATCCAGGCCACTCAACCGCCTCCCCACACAAAGGGCCCTCCCATCTTCAAGGGAAACTATCTGCATACGATTGATGTCTGAAACAAAGGTTAGCCACAGGAAGATCTAGGAGGCAAATCAAGAGTGACACTTTTGCCAATTGAACAAAAGTCCAGTGGCACCTTTAAGATAGACAAAGACAGAAGGTTTCGTGTGCATGAGAGCCAGTTTGGGGTGGTGGTTAGGGGCACGGACTCTGATCCGGGTTTGATTCCCCGCTCCTCCACGTGCAGCTGCTGGTGTGAACTTGGGTCAGTCACAAGTTATCTCAGAGGTGTTCTCTCAAAAGCAGTCCTCGAAAGAGCTCTCTCAGCCCCACCTACCTCACAGGGTGTCTGTTGTGGGGAGGGGGAGGGGATTGTAAGCCGCTCTGAGACTCCGAGTGAATCTCTTCTTCTAAAGGTGCCACTGGACTCGAACTTTGTTCTATTGCTTCAGACCAACATGGCTACCCACCTGAATCAAACTTTTACCAGTCGAGAAAGGGGGTTGGAATTCACTGTTGGTCCCACTGCACAGGTAGATTGCTCCTGCTGCTTGCTGCTCTATAGTGGAACCAGCACAGAAGGTGTCGGTGCAAAGCATACCGGTTGCGGCTGTCCAATCAGAAGCAGCCAGTCACAGTGACCTATGTCTGGATCACTCCCTCTCCCCCTCCACAATTAGGTTTTGGCTGGAAGAAATGTCAAAGGCTACAGCCTACTACCTAGCAATTTCCCAACTGAAATCTTTACACCTTGCCCCCCCCCCCAACCTGGTCACTGAGTGAAGCTCCAACCTGTGCTTGCTTTCGGAGGAGTAAAAAACGACGACACTGAACAAAGTGAGGATGACTTTGGAGTAAAGGCATAAAAGGTTTCGCTGCAACAATCACGTGCATAAGTCGTGAAGAGGATGGGAACTCATTCTCCATTAAGTGCCTTCTTAACCCATGGGACTTACCTCCACAGGATGGACTGATAGCTGCTGGCTTTAAAAGAGCATTAGACAAATTCTTCCTAACGTGAGAATAAATATGGCTGAAAAGAGAACCAGTTAGACTGCTCTGAACTCCTCGGGGGCAGGATAAAAATGCAATGCAAATTAAAATGGTTTTGCAAGGAAACCCAAGTTAGGAACTGCCTGAGATCCCTGCCCCCCCCCCAAATAATCCTTTTTATCTCTGATCAGCTGGTAGCAGAAAGAACTGCTGCTCCTGAGGAGGGGGGACAGTTTGATCAGCTGCTCCCCAGCGTCTGCTTGCAAAGCCAAAAGGTTCTCTCATGATCCTGTGCACCGGTTAAGACAGAACTGACACATTAATGGAGCCTGAGGAACAGGAAAGAGCGGCCCAGCTAGAACAGATCGAGGTGGGCCCATCGACCCCAGCCAGATAGTGCCAAGAGGCCAGCAAGACAGGTGAGGGAGGCGGCAGCTAGCCCCACAGCTCAGACACCGCAGACACAACTGCCTTTTGGGACACGGGAGTTCCATTTAGACCACTACACCTTCCCGGCAAAAGGCCTAAGGGCAAGTGGGAGGTCCTGGGCTCAATTCGGACCTTTATCCCACCCGTCTTCCAACCTCACGGCAACAGCACACACAGCTCTCCCCCTCCTCCGTTGTACTCGCACAACCAGGCAGACAAGTCAGAAAGAGCATGGCTGGCCCAAGGTCACGCAGGCGGTACCGTGGCCAGCAGGGGTTCGAACCAGGGTCTCCGCCGTATTCCGCTCTACCACACTAATCAAGCCAAAACCACCAACCCCGGATCTGGTGCAGAAGGACCCTTCTTTGCCTGACAGCCAGTGCCAGTTAGACAATAGTCCTATTCTAGCCGGATCAATGGTCTAATGCTGGCCTACCTAACAAAGCTGCTGTGAGGTCTTCGTGCACAGAGGACACTTTAAAGCTCTACAGAAGCACCTGTTATTTACACAGCTCTGTCTCTCGCCAAGACAGACCGTCAAACCAGCGGCCTAAGAGAGGGAGAGGAGCCCCCCCCATCATCCTGTCTTCCAGCGCATTTGACTAACTTTATCACAGCAATGCTCCCAAGGCTTGCGAGGGGTTGGAGAGTGAGGGTCTTCCCAGACCTCACACCAACAGCAGAGTGGTTTTAACGCTGCACTTCCCAACCAGAACATTCATCCCCTAAGCCTAGACTTGAAAGGAACCAGACCAAGGAGGGTCTGCAGCTCTGGGTATTAGCGAGCAAAACCACCATTTGGATTCCCATCCGGCTCCTTCACAGCCTTGCAGGGCAAGATTAATGGTCTACACATGGAAAGGCAAAAACTTTACAAACAAGGTTCGGGTCTGTGCAAAAATGCTGCTTGGGCTGTAAGCTGGCTGGGCCTCCCCACCCCCGTGAGGTTCTCCTTCCACTGAATTCCATACGTCCAGGCCAAGAAGCTGCTGAGCAGACAGAACCTGCGACTGAGGCCGGGGCTCGTCACCTTAGGTAAATCCCTGGTCCTCAGCCTCTCCTCTTTGTCTGGAAAAACCTCATTGATCTGAGCCATCTAAGAGACTCGTCCAGATCTGGCAATCAGAAGAGGTTCTAGTTTTTGCCTTCGCATCAAGTTGAGATAACTTCAAGGGGTGCAAAACAAAAGTACTCTTTATACATCAAGCATGACATTTGGAACTCACTGCCACAAGACGGCAGTTTAGAAAATCCATGGAGAAGTGCCTTCACTACAATAGCTACATTGAACATCCATTGTCGGAGAGAGCCAAGAGCAGATCCCTAGGACAAAGCTGCAAGAACAATGGCTCCTTCAGGTCTTCAGGAAAGGAAGCCCACAGACAAGGAGGGACTTGCTAGGGTGTAAAACTGGCTACTGCTGGAAGCAAAGACTGACACTTGACAATCGAAGAGGATACAGTGCTGCTAAACAAGAAGGTTCTACTTAGCTGCCCCAAGTAAATGTCAAATCAATATGTCAAGCAGTGGTTTATCCAAGCATCACCAAAGCGGTATGTTCAACTCTGGCCACCCAACATTTTAAATAAGGAATTGGCTCTCGCTCATGCTGCCTCCTCCCAGGCATTTTCGAGAACTGAACACCCAAACTGAAATGGCAAAGGGAGGCTTGAGGAGTTGGGGGTTGGGGATAAAACTAAAAGTTATCACCTTCCTAAAAAATAGTTCTCCCCCCCTCCCGGATTCAGTACCTAGGAAAGGCGCCAGGGGGCGCTTGCTGCACAGTTTGGGGCTGCAACTTGAAGCTTGGGAGGGAACACAAAAAAGGCGAAAACTTCCCCTACCAGAGACAGAGGCCTCCACATCCTGTCCCAAAGCAACTCCCGCCCCCTTCCCAGCCAAAAACCAGATGAGGCATTTTAACTCCTGCAACAAGATTTATGGAATGTGATGCATACAAGGACAAAATAAGAGAGAGAGAGAAAAACAGGGCCCCGGAACAAGGGGGAAAAAACAACCGGGGCCGGATATTAACATAAATACGGTAAAGCCGAGGCCATGTTTCGTCAGGAGGGAGACGTCTGGGCGGGGTCCAGAGAAAGTCCTGGGCCGAACCACCGAAGGGGGGCGTTGGGCGTCGGCGCAGGCGCCATCGAGGCAGACCCCCCTCCCCCCGCCGCCGGCTCCGTCTCTGCGCGGCGCTCCTCCCGAGCAGCGGCGTCCGTCCAGAGCGCAGAGGCCCCCGGCGGCGCGGCCGCTCCGTCCATGCGCGGCCCCGACAAAAGAGGCCAAGGTCCAAAGGCTCCTTCCCGAGCGCGTCCGTGCAGTGCGGTGCGGCGCGCGCCTCGTCGGGGGCGGGCGCTCAGTAGGCCGGCACCGGGTGGGGCTGGGGCAGGAGCTGGCAGCCGCTGTTGACGTGGCTGAGCACCTTCTGCTTGAGCTGCGCCACCTGCTCGCGGAGCAGGTTGGCCGTCGAGGCGAGCTCGGTGTTCTGGCTCTTGAGGCTCTTGACCTTCTCCTCGAGGCGCGAGATGCGCTCCAGCTTCCGCCGGCGGCACTTGGAGGCGGCGATGCGGTTGCGCAGCCGCTTGCGCTCCGCCTTGATGCGCTCCTGCGTGTCCATGTCGATGGGCGACAGCGGCGGGCTGTCGCCGAAGCTGGCCACCTCCGGCACCGTCTGCGGCTCCTCCCTTGGCGGCGGGCCGGGCAG